GATACTCATACTTTGGGAAAGGCCAGGATTACCCTTGGGATACTCTCGCTGTTGGACAGCTCAGGATTACCAAGGAGATACTCACACTTTGGGAAAGGCCAGGATAAGCCCATGGATACTCACGCTTTGGGACAGGGAATGTAGCTCCCGTTGGGCATCTGTCCACAGTTGCCATACTTATTGCCCTGCTTATTCACAGACCTGAAACAGACGTCTGGAGCCTGGGTGGAATCTGGCAACAAGAGAGGAAGAGGAGGGGTTGAAGAGAGTGTTCCAGAGTCTGCTGTCTGGTCTTCAGTGCATAAGCAGCTTCTACAGATTAAAACTCCACTGGATGTTTTAAGATCATCTTTCAAATGTTTTATAAATGTTTACACATGTCATGGATGGACTGTGGTATTTAGCCTCCTGACTTGGGCAGAAATGGGGAACGGACTGTAGTTCTGTCAGACACCAGGGGGGGCAGGGAGGGGGGGAGAGAGACAGATGAACACGCACTTGCAGAGCCACACTTACTGAGCCCCCACAGCACTTGGCACTGCGAGGTGAGGTTATTGCAGACTCCACTGTAGCAGTAGGACGCCCCCTGCTGGCAGGGTTGACCGTTCTGGAGGAAGACGTTGGGGGGGCAGTAGGGGGAGTCGCCGGAGCAGTGCTCAGGCAGGTCGCACTCGCTCAGGGGCTCTCGGCACACACTCCCTGCAGCCCGCAGCTAGGACAGCAAGGAGGCAGGAGAGAAGGGCAGGGAGGTGAGGAATACAGTAACGCAGAGCATCTCCTGGAACACTCTTTTAAAGAGGGGGCAGTGGACTTTAAACTTAACAGGCAACTGTGTAGCATAGTTACTGGATTATTACACTTAAGACTAATACACTTCAAGGACAAGGACACACTGAGGACACCCCAGCAGGGGTATAGACACACCGAGGACACCCCCAGCAGGGGTACAGACACACTGAGGAGACCCTAGCAGGGGTATAGACACAACGAAGACACCCCGACAGGGGTATAGACACACTGAGGAGACCCCAGCAGGGGTACAGACACACTGAGGAGACCCTAGCAGGGGTATAGATACACCGAGGACACCCCAGCAGGGGTATAGACACACCGAGGATACCCCAGCAGGGGTATAGACACACTGAGGAGACCCCAGCAGGGGTACAGACACACCGAGGACACACACCTTGCAGTTCTCACAGCAGATCCCATCAGAGGAGCACTGAGCCCCAGGAACCAGTCTGCAGGTGGTGGCGTTGCAACAGGGGTCCTCACACTCCTGCGCACAGACACAGTGACATGAGACACAGATCGTCCTGGCAACAGCTCGCAGAGCACTGTCCCGTCGCTAAGGAAGCTCCTGTGAGATAACCCCAGTCCAGCGCTCTCTATCTGTCAGAATCAAACTGCACACAGGGTGAAAGTACACCCAAAACCAATAGTTTGGACACATTTACAGTTGAAATAAAATACCATGCACCTTAGCACAAAAGTAATTTACATATAACTTATTTGCAAATTATATTTGCACATAAAAGTTACTTTTCTCAAATCACGTTCCCACACTAATTGGGAAAAAATACACAAATATGGCCAAAATGAGTCACCACACGTTGATTCCGTTATCACAAGCTCAAAGGGAAGGAAAAGGCAGAGGAGCTCTCAGGTCTGTCTCTCTAGGACGAGAAGAGATATACTCAGGACAGCAGCCTGGACTGATAAAAACTCAATCCTCTGTAGTGGCCTGTTCAAATACCCCAGATCACACATTCAAACCACCCTGTAAGGAGAATTCTCAGTCTCAGCCCAGCAACTCCAGTGGGTCTCTAGACTGTATCTACAGTATATCAGCTTAAGACAGGAGGAGAAGAATTCAAACGGACCAGCTCAACCTCTGCCTTTCCTCAGACATTGACATGTTGGCAATTTAGAGACTCGGGGACCCTGCTGCACTGTGGCTCTGGAGGAGAAGGAGAGAGGCCCCCAGCATGTGAGCTCCCCTGTCAGAATAAGTATCGAGGGTGCCTAATGGGTGTCCCCTCCACTGTTTGCGGCGGCGGAGGTGCTGGCGTGGTACACACGTCTGTCAGGCCGCAGTCGCACTCCTCGCCCGGCTCCACGTACAGGTTGCCACAGCGCTGTCCTCCCAGCAGCCTCTGGGGTTCAGGCATGTTGAACAGGCACATCCCTGCGCCGTGAAGCAGGCTGACCGACAGGTCCCGTGCGCTGCAGCTGCTGAACAGCTGGCCGGGCATGAAACTGGAGAGCGACAGCAAGAGAGACCGGTCACTGACTGGGAGGTGTGGCCGGAGAGAGAGGTCATCATTACCTCTGTGTGCTCTGATCTGGTCAGATCTCAAACATTAAGCGGGCCAGGGCCTGGCCAGTACTGGGATGAGAGACCTCTGAGAAAACTCAGGTTTAGACACCATTTTCAGGAGATGCCCTTCCTTAAATGAGATGATAAAATGGGCATGAAAGAATACAGTGCCACTATTTGCAAAATCAGGGGTGGTTTTCTAGTTTCCTTGGAAATTGCAGTTAGGCTTGCTTGGATGTGGTCTATTTAGATTTCAGTTCTCTTGATTCAGTTAATGAAGGAATTTCTCACTCTCCTCCACTTGATCTGCAATCTAGTGAAGCTGCACATGCAGAATGTCTGGGACACAGTTGTGGAAAAGGTTGTATTTGTGACGTGTTCAGGGATCCTTTTGGAAGAGAGTTATACTAATGCAGGGAATTATTACTGTATCTCTATAGCTGTATCTGCTCCTTTCCCCAGCTATGTCCAATGTGTGTGCCCTCTCCCGTCTTTAGCTATGCTCACTCTCTCTAGATCTACTCAGATTATGTCTATACCTCTCTAGATTTATGCCCATTCTGTACTGTATGCACTTCTCTATGTCCACAGTCCAATCCTCCCTCCAGCTGTCCCCACCATGTCCACTCCCCCCTCCAGCCGTGTCCACTGTGTCCATTCCTCCCTCCAGCTGTGCCCATCATGTCCACTCCTCCCTCCAGCTGTGCCCACTGTGTCTACCCCTCCCTCCAGCTGCCCCCATGATGTCCACTCCTCCCTATAGCTGTGCCAACTGTGTTCATTTTTCCCTCCAGCTGTCCCAACTGTGTCCACCCCTCCCTGCAGCTGTGCCCTCTCACCCAGTGGACGGCTCCATGATGCAGCCCCCAAGCCGCGGCTCATTCTGGCACTGGCAGTGCCGGTCAGCGGTGTCATGGCTCATGCCCAGGTTGTGCCCGAGCTCATGTGCCACAGTGGAGGCCACGCCCAGTACACTGACCAGATGGTCCTGCAGAGAGAAACACAATCATGCAATCACATCATCAATACCAGATGACCGCCGGGTTACAGCACAGTAAGATGCAAAAAACAGAACCGGTGTGCCTGCTACACGTCCCAGAATGCTGTTCCCAGTCAGCTGACTGGTTGGCTCATGACAATCAGTCAGGTGAGACCTAAAAAACAGGAAGCTGAGGCTCGGAACGGTCAGTCAGCAGTCTGTCTGAGGATGCGCGATGCACCAGAGGAAGCAGAGGAAGGGCCACACAGCGGTCACTCCACTCACAGCAGAAGGATGAAGGACCTTCCTGCACATTAACACTCACCCCCAGGTGCTGCCTGATATTGCAAATGGAATTCATCTGTAACACACTGAAGTATAAACTGTACTGGATGCGAATCAAGAATAAACAAACCCATTAAGAAAGATAAGAACACAGGTATTATCCACCCATCCTCTTTTTTTAAAGGGCTGACGGGCCGTGTCACTCACCACGTTGACCCCTCCGGAGCGATCCCGTGAGCACATGGAGGACTGCGATGCCATTCCCACAGTGGTGCCGTCAAAAGAGCCCCCCCTGGAAACAGGGACCGCACACATTAGGGTTCTGCTTCCTCACGGAATAAACTCACATTATCCTACTGTTAAGGAACAATCCTCTATTTTGACTGGGTCTCCCCCTCCTGTGCCTGGAAACTGCCGGGATTCCCTAGGAACTCCAATTCTCCCAAATGTCAATTCTCTCCATAGGTACAGCTGCGGTTCAGTCTAGCATTAAAGGGAAAGGCGGAGTGGGATGGGAGTGATCCCACGGTGGCCTCTCCATGTTTTACCTCCACCCAGCAGCAGCCAGTAAACCCACTTCTATGTCCAGCCCCGGCGTGCAAAACTTCTCCACTTTGACAATTAGTGCAATGCTGTTCACTTCTTTACTTTGCTGTTACAATGCTGTAACAAACATTATCAGGAGTGCTGCACTTATAACAGACATAAAGACAAAATGTAGAAAGAAAAGAAAATGTATGCTGCTAAGAATCGAAATAAATTAACTCTAATACAGTGTGAGCTGTGATATTATAATAATTTCATTTGTTTGCACATGCAATTATCTGAATTTCAACATCTGATTAAAATGTACTTCAGATGGGTACTGATGCCATACAGTTTTTAAATACTAGACATAACTATTACATATTATAATTAATTCTTACTGTTTTGTTTATTTCCTAATGAAATACAGTACATCACTTGTAAATGCAGTTAGCCATCATTGTAAGTCAGGATGTATACTGTATGTTTATCCCACTGTTTTTGTGCAAAGACGCCCCCTTCAATGTCCATCTGTGAAGTCAGCAGACAGGAGCGCTGCGACTGGACAGAGGAAGAGAAGCATGTGGACCACAGTGTGTGCCAGACTGTTATAGTAATGTCTGCAAGGGTGCTTGCTTCACATATGGGCTAAGCAATGGACTGGATCCAAACTGAGGCTCTGCCAGCACCTGTCTCACGATCCGAACAATTGCGTTGCGTCGGACCGCAAGCCTCTGATTGTGTGATCTATACTTTTGAGCCAAGCCTGCACTCCAGGAGCAGATATTCCACGTTTAGGCCAACAAGAAACCTGTTCTATTCTAGTCAGTGCTATATTCCCAATGTATACAGCCACAATCCCAGTAAACACCCATTGGTGTATACCAATTGGTATATATCCATTAGTGTGTACCCATCGCTGTGTATACCCATTGCTGTGTATACCCAATCGCTGTATACACCCATTAGTGTGTACCCATTACACACCAAGAGCCCCCCTGAGAGAGAGACCCCCGAGCCCCCCCCCTCACATGATGAGCTGAGCGTTGTCGTGATGCAGGCGGGGCAGCAGCTGTCGTGTCCTCCACTCCAGGAAGCGGTTCAGGGTGTCGGTGGGGCTCTTGTCGATCAGGATCTTGTCTTCGTCGCTCCAGATCTCCAGGCCCAGCAGAGCCACTCGGACGTTCAGGGGCCGGTAGAACTGGACAGGGGGAAAGGGGGTTCAGTGGAGGGGCTGCAGTTCCAGATACAGCTGCAGGCAGAGCAGCGGGACAACGGAGATCTTGTTTTTCCACACACTATGTGTATCGCAGGTCTGCTCCAGAAAACAGATCGTCTGTACTGGTATGCATCGTGTAAACTAAGAAGGTATTGTCAAGGTAGCGCTAGAAAAAATAGACGTATACATGAGTCTGTACTGAAGGAATTGAATAAGTCTCTCAGCCTCACCCAGTCCACTTGATTGGCCAGGTCCAGCATGCGATTGATGATGGTCTTGTTGTCCTTCTCATAGGCTAGGTACTGTGGGAACAATGGAAAGGCTGTGTTCTGTTTTGTTTTCCTTCCCCACCAAGAATGACTCCTTGCCCAGCAGAGGAAGCAGGAGCCAGAGCTCTCTCCCTGTCACAGACCCCAGTCTCTAACTGTGAAATGTGTTTCAGATACAAACCTCCTATCGAGTGGTGCGGCCACAAAACTGTGAACACATTCAAAGCCAGTTCCAACCTGTGCCACCAGGGGGCAAAAGCGCTCCATGATTCACACTGAGGTCCTTCTAAAGATTAGGAGCTACAGTAGTCAGCAGAAATTTAAGAGCAGGTGCAGGTAGGGGTGTCTTAAACAAGCTGTAACAGAAATGTCAGGGTGAGAGTTGGGGATCTTAGATCTACAGTAAGGAGAAAATGTCCCAGCAGGATGTTTTTCTATTCTTCTCATGACCTGTGCTCAGCTGGGACACCCTTCCTAAAGGAACTGAGTTGTATATCAGTCTGGCTTGTACTACCATGGCACATAAAATTATCTTCTGAGCAAGTAAGCTGCGCAAAGATGGGGGTCTTTGTGCCTTTACTGCAGTGTCAGGATCGCTGGATGAAAACCAGAAACGAGCAGAATGTGTGAGTTGTGTGTGGGAGGGTAATTTAAGCTATGTCTCACCTCCCTGTGATCCACTACAAGCACCAGCTCAATGTACTTGGTCTCCGTCAGGATGTCTCTCTTCAGCTGGACAGAAAAGACAGAGACACGGCAGCTCAGGACAGGAAAACAGAGCTGGAGCTCACCCTTACAGCATCATATTCTAACACTCATCATGTCCTCTCTCCAGCTTACACTAGACACAGGGTGACACAGTAGTGTAGTAGTCAGCATTGTTGCCTCACAGTGCAGTGGCCCTGGGTTCAATTCCTGGGGCTGTCTGAGTGTGTACAAGTATGTTCTCCCCATGTTCACGTGAGTTTC